CGCTGGAAAAACAGCTGGAAAAGAACCAAACACGGGGGGCACCCCAGGACCGCCACCCTGGGTCATCCCTGCGGGAATCACCGCTGGAAAAACAGCTGGAAAATAGACGGACACGGGGGGCACACCAGGGACTGCCACCCCCGGGTCATCCCTTCGGGAATCACCGCTGGAAAAACAGCTGGAAAACAGCGACGCAGAGGGAGCAGCCCCGAAAGGGAGGCCGGCCCCTGTTATTTTCCCCTCCCCGTCTCCCCCCAAAAAGCGCGTTTCGTTAAAACCATTAATTACGCAACGCTCGCGCGGCTTAATTAGAGCTGCCGAGCGCGGGGCGAACGCGACTTTTTCGGGGCAATAAAACATGACGGGGCACGAAGGGCGGCTCAGCCCTTTGTGCTCGCTGGGTTGTTAAAGGGAGGGAGGCAGAGAGAGAGGCCGGGAGAGCTCGTGACTGCGCGGAGAGGTGTGAATTATTGCACCAGAACTCTCGCCCCGGAGGGGTCTGGAGCCATTAATGACTTGTTTTCATGGTTGTGTGGTTTTTTTTTTAAAGACGTTTTCTCACACTGTAAAAAAAAAAAAAGAAAAAAAGCAGAAATGGAAAGTAGTCGCTAATGGGAGAAGCGCCGGGAGGATCGGGCACCGAGGATCGGGCACCGACTGGAGCCACTTGGTTTTGTGCTGGTTTGATCCTCTTTTCAGTGATTTTGGGGATCCCACAGCCCTGTTGTTTCCCTTTGTTGAAGTAGCTCTGCCTGCAAACCACGGATATTCCGAGTCGGGAAGCAGCTCCCGTTTATTTGCAGCATGTTTTCCACCAAATGAACTTCAGCTCCTGAGCTCCTCTTTATTGGCAAAGCAGGAAAGAGTTCGTTGCTTTTTTTTTTTTTTTTTTTTTTTGGCGCAGCCTCGTCCTGTGTCCAATTCAAACCCATTCCCGTTTAATTTTGGGCAACCTGAAAGCTGAAGGAAAGCAGACAGCCCAGAAATAAAACACTGCTTGAGGATTCCCCCCCCCTCCCCAAGTCCAGATCCTACTGAAGCTTTACTGGGAGCCGAGTGTGCCTCTTGATAATGAAACTATGCCATAAAAATGCTATTCCAGGGATCCTTTTTTCCACTTATTATTAAAAAGAACTGTGAGGGTGATGCGTGGGGTTAGTCAGCACAACCTGCTTTCACGTGTGTATATAATATAATGCACTGTATTAACATCCCTGCATGGATTGCAACTCCTTTAACCAGCCTGATGTCAAAAGGTGAATCCTTAAGAGCAAACACAGGGACGGGGGGAATACAGGTACCAAGATGGAAAATTGATTGGTAGTTTGAACCTTCGCTTAAGAAAGACTTAATGGGATGAGGAGATTAATAAAGAGGGTCTCTGTGGCAGGGCTGTCACTGCTTCTGGTAGCCCAGAGGTCAATAATCACAGCAAATGGATGAGGCAGGTCAGGTATCTCAGCTAAAGGATCTTCCTGGATGTTCCTGGGCACGTTCTGGGTCCATTCACCTGGTTTTTAGGGAGGGTGTAACTTTGTGTCCCGGTGTCCTGTGCTCTGGGGGGCCTCAGGAAGAGCTTTGCCAGCAGGGCAGGGAGGGGATCCTGCCCCTTTGCCCAGCTCTGGGGAGGCACATCTGGAGAACTGGGCCCAGTTCTGGCTCCTCAGGACATGGAGCTCCTGCAGCAGGTCCAGGGGGAGGTGACAAAGGAGCCCAAGGGATGGAGCATCTCTGGGAGCAGGAAAGGCTGAGGGAGCTGGGGCTGTTCAGCCTCCAGAGCAGACCCTGAGGGGACCTCCCCCAGGTCTGGAGGGTCTGCAGGGAGGGGGCAGAGGATGGACCAGGCTCTGCTCAGGGGGGCCCAGCAATGGCACAGGAGGAACGGGCAGGAACTGATGCCCAGGAAGTTCCACCTGGACAGGAGGAAGAACTTCTTTGCTGGGCAGTGACCCAGCCCTGAACAGATTGTCCAGAGGGGGTGGAGTCTCCTCCCTGGGGATATTCCAGAACATCTGGACACAATCCTGTGCCATGTGCTCTGGGATGGCCCTGCTGGAGCAGGGAGGTGGGACCAGGAAGGACACTGTGGGTCCTTCCAACCTCACCCATCCTGGGATTCTGTGATGTTAATTCTGGTGGCACTAAAAGAAAGAAACCATATTTCAGGGGAGGCTTCTCAGTGTTTAGTAAATCCATGACAAGGTCTTGCTTCCTCTGTGGCAGCTGCTGTGGCTTTTTCTGCATCTTCTTACTGTTGTTCGTGCATTTATTGCCCTTGGAGCTGGTTTATGGACCAGGATCCCACAAGGGCTGGGTTAAGCACAGGACAAAACCATGTCTCCTGTGCTGAAGGACAAGAGAAAAAGAGAAAAGTGTCAGAGGGAGCTGTCCCACCACAACAGGAGAAAACAGAATGTTCTCTCCTTTCAGCCTGAAAAGCAAGGATGGGGGGCAGCTCCCCCTTCACACACACCCAGGTCACTCCCAGCAGCCTTTTCCTCTCTTCCCTGCA